CTATCCAACCTTTGTAGCCTAATTTTGCGATCTGATGGAATATGTAGGGGTAGTTTATTTCACCATCAGAATCTGGTTCATTACGAGATGGGACTTGGCTTATTTGAATATGTCCTGAAAGAAAACAAATTCAACATGTTTCTACACACCCAAACAAGAACTTCATTTTTTAAGAGTAAAATTTAAAAATTAAAGCAGTGATCATTATCCAGCACAATTTAATAACTGTGAAATTTTTTTTATAGTAATATAGCCTGCAGATGTTATCTAACCCATGTAAGTAATGCCTGCAAAGCAGCGCCAAGATCCTTGCTCTAGGCTCCTAATTGACTTGACAAATTACCGAAAGTCCCTCTCAGAATGTTCCTCTAACCTTATTACGCATTCAAACAATGCTTTTTTCAGACAAACCAACCATTGTGCATACTCAAATCCTGGTACAAAGCTGGGGACCAGAACAAGGATTTCAGCACTAGCTAACAGAGGGACTTAACTAGTAGAAGTTTAGTTTCAGCTGTGGTGTAAAGGCAAATAGTAATATTTGTACAACAACAGTACCAATATATGGCATAGAGTCAATCAGGGTTTGGGTCAAGTTTCCGCTTGTCCTTTGATGGTGAAACATGTCCTATATATAAAAAAAAAATAATAATAAACCTTCAAGAAAACCAAGTTGGGTGAGTTATAATAATAAGTCCGTGCAGCTCACCTCCACACCTCATAAAAACTATTGTTTTAACAAAGTATACATTTCTTTAAAAGTTTTGTCTTAAGAGCCCATAAATTTAGTCAAGTCAAACTTTAAATCAATTCAACTTGATGTAAGTCATATCCATTAAATTGGTGAGGATATAACACAGCTTATAAACTGAAAAATATTGCTCTTGTTCCTTGTTTTTTAACTTACCAACTGAAGTTTCATGTTACTATGATCCACCTTTTTTATGTAATTGATAGCTGGTGAAAAAGAAAATGAAAATGAAAATAATGAAATTTTTAATGTCAAAACAACTTCTCCTTCCTGATGAGGTCCACTTGAAATGTTACCTTACACGGGCAGTGCTGCCACTAAGGGAGATTTTCCCAGTTACAGTGGAACCCCTTTAATATGGTCACCAATGGGCCAAAAGCATTGGCCATATTGACGAGGTGGCCGTAAGGCAGGGTTTCACTGTACTATGAGCATAAATTCCTTGCTATTTAATTCCCCACCTACTGACTGCATTCACCTGGCAACTTAAAAGCTAAGTGACAGCCACGCACATGAGACTCCAAAAAGTTGTTGGGGGAAGAAGTTAAAGTACCCTGTGAGCAGAGGCCACATTTTTGTGAAAATGTAGCCTCTGCTCTCAGGGTAAAGTAAAAGGAGAGCAAAGTAACATGTATTAAGTTATTGACTGTATGCATGGCCATGTTGTGATAACATTGAAATAAGCAAATAAACATGAGTGTTAATGATAGATCATTTACTCCTATATATAAATTTTGCCATAAGAACTGTCATCACTCTTGTAGGGAGAGAAGTTATGGTAATAATAAAATAATATTAGAATAAGACAATTAAGCAAATTTTTGAATGTTAATATTAAAAAAATGCAGATAAAGACCAACAGAGCATTGCCATTTCAAGAATGTCAATAAAAATTAACAGTTAAAAGTTATACCTTGTAGTGTGTTAGTCAAAAAGTATCCTGGAATAGTGCTAATTGGTTCCACTAAAAGAGTTATCCCAGACTGAAACAAATTAAAAATACAATCACTTTTATGGGAGTATTGACAGGGAAGTTTTACCTCCAAAAAATGTGATAAAATTAATGTGTTAACTTAGGCCTCAACTCAACTGACCACTGGGAACCCAGGGAACTTAAAGGGTTAAAAGAATTACGGGGTACATAACAAAGCATTGTAATGCTCAAATCCTAGGCTCCCTGCAGTTTTTTAATGTCTAAATCTGCCAAAAGTTAGTTTTCCTAGCAAATTATTATAGTTAGCAACTGGAGGCACCCTTTGCAGGCACTGTTATCAGGGCTTCTGATAGGGTGCGGCAAAAAATGGGAAATTCTGCGGCATTTTCAAGGGAAATTATGCGGCAAGAAACCTCATTTTAATTATTTTAATCTGAAATGGATCATTTAGTCAATTAAGTGTCACTTGATTCCTCCTTAATTAAATAATGTTACAAATTTCAGCTTTACATACTAGATAGGCTGTTAATTAAGGTATGTCCATATGCTATTTCAGATGTCAGGCCTCGACAGACCATACAACCTATCAGAACAAAAATAACTTGAACAAAGTAGAAACATTTCTGTGGGTTATAC